GCCGCTGGCAGGGCCTCCCTGCAGCACGCCACATCGCCGCGCGAAGAGCACGCAGCCCGCAGCCGCCACCACGTAGGTCGCGAGGTACTGCATCTGCATCACACTCAGCAGCCCGAGCGGCACCCCCCACTTCCGCATGACGGCCCAGAGCCGGCCGTGCATCGCTGAGGGGAAGGCCTGCTTGAAGTCAAAGCTGAACGCCCACGGACGGAGGGGCCGCAGGGCGCCGCGACCAGCTGCAGCGGCAGCCCATAGCAGGGCACCGGCGGCCGGTGACCTTGGGGCCCCTTCGCCTGCGTTGCGAAGGTCACCGGCCCCGTGGGTCGGCTGGGGGCAAACGCGATCAGGAAGCAGGGGGTGGCAAGGTCTGAGAGCGTCCGCACGGTCACTGGTGACGTCTCGTCAGCCTCGTCCTGGTCCACCAGCGCTCGACGAGGTTGCGCGCGGGGACCCGGCCAGGTACGAATCCCTATTGCGGCGGTGCCGCCTCCGCCACCCCCGCGCGCCGCAGCGCGCGTTTGGCCACTGCGGTGATGGCCTTCATGGAGGTGTTGCGCAACGCCAGCGGCCGAGTAACCGCAGGTGCGCGGATGGCCCCTTCGTCGCCGTCGGCGTCCTTGACCCCCTTCGGCGGGAACGCGCCGATGGCCCCGTTCGAGTCGGCGTAAAGCGGCAGGCCAATCGCCTGCCACCGCTTCGCAAGCACGGGGCGCGCCCACGCCCGCGCGGGCAGACCGTCGGGCCCCGGGGGCGCGAACCTTCATGCGCTTTAGCACGTGAAAGAAGTCCTGAATGACGGGCTCGCCGCAACACTCCCAGTCGAAGTGCTTGACGCAGTGGGCAGACAGGTAGCGCTCGATGAGCCGCTGCTTCTGCGGCGACACCGGGGGCGCTCCCTGGTCGAAAAAGACGTCGCCACAGTAGCTGGCAAACGCAAGCTCCCGAACTTGATCCGAACGGTGCACCTCGCCGTCCAGCACCGCGCCGGCCAGCAAACGTTGCGGCTGAATGGCGCGCCAAATCTGCGCTCGCTTCCGCCTCCCGCGGAGCTGGTGTCGCCTCGCGCCCCTGGCAAGCGAGCAGAGCTGGTGTTCCTGCTCCTCCGCTCGCCCAGCAGCTATCAGCGAATGGGCTTCGCGACGTCGGGCCAAGTCGTGCAGGCGCTGGAATTCAGCACGTTGGAGAAACACGACGCTGCGGTGAGCCTCGCGGATCTCGAGGAACTGCCCCCGCCACGGACAATCGCGGACCAGCAGTCGCCCAAGGCGCACGTCATGTCTCCACGCGACTCGCGCGGCCTGTCGCCATAGCATGGCGGTGGAGTACTTGCCGCCAGCGTCGTTGCGCAGGCGCCAGTCGCGCACCAATCGGCCGACCTGCGGGGGGGTGGCGGCGGCGGCCACCGCCGAGGGAGGCGAAAGGCAGGCCAGGTAAACGTGCGCGCTGCGCGAACCACTGCTCGAAGTACTCGGCAAACTTCGGGTGGTTCAGGATGGAGGCCGGGATCGGCGCAGGCTGGCCGGCGGGGTTGTGCCACTCCCGACGGTGGGCCCAGCTCAGTGTGACCAACGCGTGGTCCGAGATCTTGGCGAGATGCAACTCCTGCGGTTCGCCATCGGCTTGCATCTGCTGGGCAGTGCGGCACGACGGCCATGCCGGCTGGGCCACGAAGATCTCGTCTATGTCGGTGGCGGTCTTGGCTTCCTCGGTCCAATGGGTGGGCGCCATGGGTACCATCTCAGTGGCGCCGCGGAGGGCCTCGAGCCATCGGCGTTCGGCGCCATGTCGGCGCTGGGCGCTGGGGGGGCCCCTCCTCCGACTGCGACGCCATCGAGGCGCCGACGCCGAGTTGAAGTCCCCAGCAACGAAGGTGACGCATAGTCCAGGCGACAACTGGCAATCAGCAGTGTCCTGCTTCATCTGCTTCTGCGCCTTGGCCAGGGTGCCAGGCGGAATCTCAAAACTGTGCACGTTCCCATGAATAATGCGATGCGTGCGGTCTCCCCTCTGATGTCGGGCCTCCACGCGTAGTAGACGACCAGGGCAAAACTCGAGAGGGACGCAGGTGGTGTAGCCCGCCGTCGCAGGGGAGAAGGTGGCCAGACCGCCGGCGGAGCGGCCCCCACTGCAGAACGAATTGAACCAGCGCCCTCGCGCTAGTATGCGACGTTGGACTTCGCGGAGTGAACTTGGAGAGCCGTGGGCCTCTTGCAACGCCAAAATAGTTCCTGTGTGCAAGTGGTCGTTGATGTAGCCGACTCTCGAGTGGATGCCCGGGAGCTCGTGGTGGACCAGGGCGCCGCAGTTCCACGTGGCCACCCGGAGGGCACCAGGGGCGCCCTGCTGCTCGCCCAGAGGTCCAAGAGACCACGCGGGCCTCTCCTCCACCACGGCGGCCGCGGCCAGCCTCGCCAGCTCGCGCCTGTCGAAGCCCGGGCGTTCCAGGGACAGGTCACTCCAGAGGAGGCGCGGGGCGCTGGTCGGCCCGTCGATCTCCACCTTGAGGGAGGGCTTCCAGCGCGTCGACAGGGCGCGATCTTCGACGACACCGACGAGAAAAGCGCAAGGCGGATCTTCTTGAGGCAGAGCTCGTGGGCAACGTCGGAGCGGTTGCGGTCGGCGCCGATGAACAGCTGCACCTGCTCTCCCGTGGGGCTCTTGAAGATGGCGCTGCTGCCACTCGCCATCGGCGCTGCGTTTGCGGGCCAGCGCCTTGCGGACGCGCCGCGCCGCCGGCTCAGGGGCACCCGGCAGACGGACCACGGATGCGGAGTCGGCCGCCTCGCCAGTGATCCGCATGCCACTGGTGGGGATGTCGATCGAGCCCAGCCATTGCTCAAGGTGCTCTTGCGAGCGGCCTTAGGGAGTCTCTGCTTGGCGCGGACGACGATGGCGGCGAGGTCGGGGTCTCGACCCCGGGCCAGCCCTCCATGGGGAGGCCTCGGCTCGGCGCTGGAGGCGGCCAGCACCTGCGATCGAAGGTGGTCAATCTCACCTCGGAGCACGGTCATCTCATCAGCATGATCAACCATCTGTCGCTCCAGATCCGACGAACGAGACTCGACGGCACCGAGGCGATTCTCCACAAGGCCCGTGATCTCCCTCTTGCTGGAAGAGAAGAGAAGCTCTGCTGTACCCGCTGAATGCTGGACTGGAACGAGTTCTGGGCCGCGCGGAGGCCGCGTTGCACGTCTGAGTTGAGGGCGTCGAGCCTAGCTTGCACTTGGTCCTGGAAGGACTAGGGGTCCTGCGGGGTGGCGAGGCCCCCCGACCGGCGTGCCTGCAGCAGGTGCGCTGCCATGTGAGGCCGCCACGCCTGGCCTGGCAGGAGGAGCGCCAAGGCCCGAAGTAGGCCCGCCAAGCCCACGCTGTTCTGATAAGTAAGTCGCCCACGGGCCGGGGCCTCCAGCAGCAGCTCCATGGACGGGTGGAGATGCATCTGCTGCGCCAGGCTGCGAGGCGAAGGTGGGCATGGCCTCCAGCTCCGCGATCTCCTGGCTGGACAGCGCCGGCACCGCAGGGGGACCCTCTCCATCGCCCGGCATGCCGCGTGCGGCCCGTGGACGGTCGCCCCACCCGCTGCGGTCAGACTGACGGTGGCGGCGCCTCGCAGCGTCTCGGCGTCGCTGCTCGCTGCGGGAGGTGCTCCGCTCGCTCAAGACGGAACCGCTGGAGTCCGCGCGGGCAGCGCTGCCAACGCCAGCGCCGCCAGCACCAGTTCGAGGCCCCATGGCCCCATGGCGGGCGAGACGTGATAGAGAAGGTGGCACTGAGGCCAGGTCAACGAAGACAAAGAGGCTCCCAATGAAGGGCTGGCCTCGTCGGGGGAAGTAAGCGCGCAAGCAAGCTTGGGCGCTCAAACGTTACGAAAGCCGTTTTGGCCCACAGTCGGAATCCGGGTACGCTGTACCGTTCATCCGACTTGAGCCAATTTGGCTACGGAGTAGGAGGAGGACGAGGAGGAGGAGGAGGAGAAGGAGGAGGAGGAGGAGGAGGAGGAGGAGGGAGGAAGAGCAGGAGGAAGAGAGCGGAGGAGGAGGAGGAGGAGGCGGAGGAGGAAGGTGGAGGGTGGAGCAGGAGGAGGAGGAGGAGGAGGAGGAAGAGAGCGGAGTAGGAGGAGAAGGAGGATGAGGAGGAGGAAGAAGCGGGCACCCTCCGCGAGTCGACCTCGATCTCGCACCTCGGTCCGACCGCCTGCCCGCCGCCTGCCGAGAGGCCCTCCACGGACCGAGGCCCCGGGAGGTGGTCGCGGGCAGCTCCCCGCCTCCGAGCATCGTTGCTGCGGGCCGCCCTCTCCTCCTCTCGGCGGCGAGCGAGGGTTATGTTGCTCCCATCGTACTTCAGGACCACATCCCAGACACAAATTCGAGCACCCCGAAGAGTACCGTAACAGTGTCGAACGAATATGGCCTCCCAGGGCCCGACACGTGAAAACCATCCAGTGTCGGTACTCTCTTGGTGCTCGTTTTTTTTTCTCCTGATGATCAAGGCTAAAGTAAGTTGGGACATCGTAGAGCGAGGCGGGGAAGCAAGAAGGAGAAGGCTTTCTCAGAAGGCGGCGGGACTTCCCAGAAGCCCTCGCGCCTTTCTTGGAGGCATTCAGTGTCTTCGGGGTGGGCCATGAATACGTGTCAGAAGTCCGGGAAACTCCCGAGCCTTCTGCGAAGGCCTGCTCCTTCCCACTTCCCCCCAGGACTCGCCGCCAATCCTCGCTCTCTGGCTCCAGGCAATAAGAGGGGTCGTTCGCAACGGGGTCGCAAAAGCACATGCAACTGGGACGCAACAGGGACGTACTGGTACCACGTGTCCTCCTCGGAGGCATGCGCCCGACCCGGACAACTAGTGCATCCACCTGGTAGTAGACCGTTTCCCGAGTGGTATGGCCAGAAATGGCTTATACCACAGTGCTTCTCGGCGCGCGCGTCGCCCCCGTGATGGCGACGCACACATGGCATCAGTTTGCTTTGGTCGGCGCCGAGCAGTCGTTCATCCCGCGGCCCCAGGCGTCTGGCAGCCGCGTGCGGATACTGCACGACGTCCGCACTGGCGATTGCGCACGAACTGCTGCGCACGTGCTCGAGACCCCCCTTGGCAGAGGGCCCGAATCCGAGCCCTTCCTCCGATCAGATCGGATCCGTATGGGTGCGTGTTGTGTGATTGGGTGCGTGTTGTCGGATCGTGGTCCCCGCTCGAACGTGAGCCCCCCCCCCGCGGTCCGACAACCCGCACCCGTGCCCGTAGCAAGTCCTGCTCCCTCCGGGTCCCTCGATGGGTATGGGTGCGTGCTGTTCGTTCGTCAGTTCTCTCCTCTTCGCCCTCCCACCTTGCACTTCCCCTCCTGACCACAAACAGGCAGGAGGGGGGAGGAGGGGGGGGAGGGGGAGCGGGAGGGGGAGGGGACCGGGAAGAGGAGGAGGAGGAGGAGGAGGAGGAGGAGGAGGAGAAGAAGGATAATGAGGGGGATGATGAAGATGTTGATGATGATGCTGCTGATGATGCTGCTGCTGATGATGATGATGGGAGGAGGAGGAGAGGAGGAGGAGGGGGAGAAGGAGGGGGAGGGGGAGGAGGAGGAGGAGGAGGAGGAGGAGGAGGAGGAGGGGGAGGAGGAGGAGAAGAAGTAAAAGGAGGAGGAGGGAGAGAAGGAGAAGGAGGAGAAGAGGGAGGAGGAGGAGCGAGGAGCGAAAAGGGAGGAGCGAGGAGGACGAAGAGGAATGGATGATGATGATGAGGAGGAGGAGGAGGAGGACGAGAAGGAGGATGAGGAGGAGCAGGAGGGTAATGATGATGATGATGATGATGGTGATGATGATGATGATGATGATGATGATGATGATGATGATTATGATTATGATGATGATGATGAGGAGGAGGAGGATGATGATGAGGATGATGATGATGATGCTGATGCTGATGATGATGATGATGATGATGATGATGTTGAGGAGGAGGAGGAGGAGGAGGAGGTGCGAGGAGCGAGGAGCGAGGAGGAGAAAGAGGAGGAGGAGGTGGAGGAGGAGCAGGAGCAGGAGGATGATGATGATGCTAATGATGATGCTAATGATGATGATGATGATGATGAGGAGGAGGAGGAGGAGGAGGAGGAGGAGGACCGAGGAGCGAGGAGGAGGAGGAGCAGGAGGAGGAGCAGGAGGAGGATGATGATGATGGTTCCGATGGTTCCGATGACGACGAGGGGCTCCGAAAACGAGGCACCAAGCCAGAAACGCGATACATCATAAGCGCTAATTACTAAAATCAGCTACGCGAGGTGATAGGAACAGGCTTGTGAAAACCATTTCCTATATTTTCGCCTGACGGGCCCTTCCCCTGGATAAGGTACTTCCTCTTAAAGTACCTCGGAGAACCCAGGGGAGGTCTACCCTTACAAGGTCTGGCAATCAAAAACGCTCTGCTCACACACCTCGCAGTGCAATCTACACACCAAACCATCGGGCCCGTTTTCCAGAGGCGGTGCGACCCATGAGCCATCTGGACCCCCTTAGGGGGTCCTCCACAGCTCAAGTTCACCAGGTCACACCTACGAGCACGATTCTCTCCGCACCTCGCGCAAGCCCATCGTCCTTTGTACCTACGCACTACGTGGCCATTGTCATCACTCAGAGCGAGGCCGATCGGCCTCTCAACGTACTCCTTCCGTTCCACATCAGCCCATTTTCCTCTCGAACAGCGGCGCAGGATGCGCAGCACAGTTTTCAGCGTCAACGCTGCCGCCTGCTCGCGCATGTGACGAGCACGTTCTTGAGGTAGATCTCGTGGGTGCATGGCCGCACCACACTTGGCATAGAAATCCACTTGCTTGTTGCCGTGCCAGTAGGCCAAGGGAATCTGCTGAGCCAGCGCTTGCGTCTGCGAGAGGTGCGAGGGAATCCACTCGATCTGAATTTCATCAGCACCGACATCATCAACAGCTTTCCAGAACTGAACCCAAAGCTCTGCATACTGGTGTCCAGAATGAGTGCCATAGGGATGTCCAGCTTGCCAACCAATAAAGAGCTCTTTGAAGTCAGTGACGAGGTGCAGCTGGCCCTGCGACTTGTGCAGGATGGCTTGTCGGGCTGCAAACAACTCCGCCGCACCTGAGGTCTGCCATGGAAAGGGAACAGGTCCTGATGCTGCTGCAATGACATTTCCCACCGCGTCGATCATACAAAAGGCCCATCCACCACGAGCTCGAAACTCACAATGTGGAAAGATACAGCTGCCATCCACACAAACAACTCCACTGATCAGGCCAGAAACTGTGCACACATGCCAGCGAATCGTATGGTGAGCAACTGCATCAGGAAGCTGAAACAGGGGATCAGGAAAGAGCCCTTTGCACAGCATCATAGTACACGGATGATCTTGACCATACTCATTGCGGCCCCACAACATGAGCTTCCTCTCGAAACCGCTCCAGTCTTGTCTCTCCGTGAGATGCCAATCACATCTGAAACACCTGTGCAGATCAGTCCCTTCCTCAACCCCACAAATCG